TTTGGTCGTTGTCATGCTGAAAGATGAAGTTCCTCTTCATGTTCAGCTTTCTAGCAGAAGCCTGAAGGTTTTGTACCAATATTGACTGGCATTTGGAAAGGTTCATAATTCCCTCTACCTTGACTAAGACCCCATTCCAGCTGAAGAAAAACAGCCCCAAAGCATGATGCTGCCACCACCATGCTTCACTGTGGGTATGCTGTTCTTTTGGTGATGTGCAGTGACAATCATATCTTTTGGAATTGTGGCCAAAAAGTTCAACCTTGGTTTCATCAGACCATAACACATTTTCCCACATGCGTTTGGGAGTGGTTCTGCAAAATTTATCCGGGCATAGAAGCCTTTTCTTATGAAGAAAAACATCCATCCTGCCATTCTACCCCACAGCTCAGACATGTGAAGAATACGGGAGATTGTTGTCACATGTATCACACAGCCAGTACTTGCTAGATATTCCTGCAGCTTCTTTAATGTTGCTGTAGGCCTCTTGGCAGCCTCCCAGACCAGTTTTCTTCTCATCGTTTCATCAATTTTGGAGGGATGTCCAGTTCTTGGTAATGTCACTGTTGAGCCATATTTTCTCCACTTGATGATGACTGTCTTCACTGTGTTCCATGGTATATCTAATGGCTTTGATATTCTTTTGTACCTTCTCCTGACTGATACCTTTTAACAATGAGATCCCTTTGATGCTTTGGAAGCTCTCTGCAGACCATGACTTTTGCTGTGGGATGTGACTAAGAAAATGTCAGGAAAGACTTACTAGAACAGCTGAACTTTATTTGGGGTTAATCAGAGACACTGTAAATGATGGCAGATGTGTACTGACTGATTTAACATGATTTTGAATGTGATTGCTTAATTCTGAACACAGCTACATCTTCAGTTATAAAAGGGTGTGCACACTTATGCAACCACATTATTTTAGTTTATGTTTAATGTTTACAGTTCTGAAAATATTTCTTTGTCTCATTTTTTTACATTACATAAACCTGATATTTTAACAGGGTTGTGTAGACTTTTTATATCCACTATAGATATAAACTTAACCTCTTCCCATCCAGCCCATGTACATAAACAGCTGGATGGGAAACATGCCAATGCGGGTGGCTCTTTCTAAACGGCCACCCGCATCAAAGGCTCGTGCGTGGCTCGTAAAGCACACACCCCAAGCCCAGTGATCGCTGTGTCCCGTGGACACAGCGGTTAATATGACATGATAAAGGACCAATGTAATCAATCCTATACCATGTGACCAACTGTGTCCAATAATCACACTGTCTAAACATTAAGATGTGAGTTCTGTCTGTGAGAGGAGAAGGAGCTGTTAGCATCGCCAGAGCTTGTAAGCACACTGCCCTCCACCTCAGTGTCCCTGATTGCCATACTGTGTGCCCTGATTGCCATATGTGCCATACTGTGTGTGTCCTGATCACTGCCACACCAGCGGGTCCTGATCACCGCCACACCAGTGGATCTTGATCATCATATGTATATATGGTGTACATACCATGGTTTGTGGACTCTCTAACTTTCTCACAGACTAAATAATATACACTGATTTGGGTTATTTCTATCAAAAAAAGGTAGCACAATACATTTTGTCCTAAATTTATGAAGAAAGTATATTTATTTGCAAAATTGAATAACAAAAACTAAGGAAAACAGGTTTTGTTTATCAAAAATGTTTTTCATGTATTTAGTAAAATTAATTAAATACCACCAATAGAAACCTCTATTTGTGTGAAAACATGATAAAAATTTAATTTGGATACAGTGTGGTATGAGTAATTGTCATTCAAAGTGTGAGAGCGCTAAAAGCTGAAAATTGGCCTGGACTGAAAGGGGGTGAACGTGTCCGGACTTGAAGCCTCAGTTCAAAATTAGGTGTCCTTTTTATGAAACAGAGATCAGCGGCGATCCTGAGGATCATTGCTGATCTACGATCATTAGTGGTTTAGGAAACAGAGATGATCAGCGGAGAACATGTTCTCCACTAATCGTCTCAGCACACAGATGGCCAGTTTATGAAGGAGTGATGTCAGCCCTTCACTGGCAATCTGTGTTCTCCCTTCAGATTCTCCAGCCCAGAGCTGGAGAAGCGGAGGAACCATAAATGAAGCAGCGGTAATTTACCACTGCTTGGTAAACGGTGTTTGACTGATCTCTTACTGTAATTTCGTGAGATTGTAGTAAAAGCAGCCGTTTTCCAGCGTTCAAAGCTTTTGTAGATTGCTTCTCCCTTCCTTCAGAGAAGTGATCTACACCGCTTCATAAAAAGGCATTCAGAGGAGAACCGTCTCCTCTGAGAATGCCGGAGGACTGAGCAGCGGTCACTTACTGCTGCATGATAAAAGGACACCTTGGTGTCCATTGGAACTTTGAGAAGTTTACAAATTTTCCAGAGGGGGTTTAGGAAGCCCCAGGGTTTTCTTTTGTTTTGTACTACAATTACTATATTAACTAATTGATAAAATTGTTGTATAGCCTTTAATATGACACTACTAACCTGTAAATGATCAGGTCAACACTACTATCTGTGCCCTTGATTTCATTGCTTCTCAACACATTCTGAGAAGTCTATAATTATATCCATTTTTGTTCAGTTAATTGCAAAAAAAAAAAACAAAAAATAGAAAAAAATGTGTTTAATTTTAGTTAAAAAGCGCAAGCTGGAAGGAATAGTGCAATACAGGTAATATTCTGTTATGCACGTTATACATGACAATTTAGCGAATCATTAACAGGACAACACGCATTTCCTTTTGTTGCTTGGCGTATGTAAGGTTTGCCTGGTAAGGAATGCAGATTATTAACTGTCTGCAGGTGATGATACATCAGATGAGGGATGACAAGCCGTGTCAATTTGAGAGTGAGTCACTGCACCTTGTGATGCAACTTTTGAAATCTAAGGTTGGTTCTGTGGTAGAACACACCTATCTTAGCACACATTGCTTCTTCTAGGCAGGCTTTCAATGGATGTTTCCTCAGGTAAAATGTAGATGACCCATTTATTTAGGATGTTCCTTATTGTCCCTGCCTGCCAACTTATCTCACCACTTAAAATTATCTGTCTTCTCAAGTCTTTTTTTTATGGCTTCAATTTCCTGTGTCTTTGAAGTTGCACACTGGGGTGTTAATTTCAATTAATTATGACTTTCAAAGATAAATAAGGGTTTGAACAGTACTTGCATCATTAACAGAAGATTAGAAAAAAAAAAAATCTTCTAAACTGCATGACTTGTCATGCCCATTCCTATGTATGTGTTTAGAACATGCATTGTATATTCTAGATTGTAAGCTCGAAAGAGCAGGGCCCTCGATCCCCTCATGTTTTGCATTGTATTGGTATTGTTCTGTCACATGTTCTGTCCCCCTTTGTAATGTACAGCGCTGAGTGAACTATCGGCGCTTTTATAAATACTGTATAATAATAATAATATTGTGGTTACATCCTGTGGCTGTCAGCGAAACGGCTATATGGATTACAGAGCTTTTTATTGAGCAATACAAAAAAAAAGTATTTTCAAATTTTATTACTTTTTAATAATAAAATACCTTTAAGTCAAGGTAATAAATACAAAAGTCAACATAATTAACAAAATATTAATCACAAGCCATCATCAGATTTTTACATCCCTACAGAATTTGGTTACCATACGTCCCCGATTCCCAAGGACTATCCTAATTTTGAGGTGTTTGTCCAAAGAAAGCATGAATCCCTGGCACTATCCCCGGCGACCTGGGCAATGTAGCTTATAATTTGTACAAAGAAGGGGCCAACTCATCAGTTGCACTGTGCAGGCATCAACTCAAAATGGAGCTGCTGGAGCCCTTTATGCGTTCAAGGTGTCCACCCTAACTATGCATGCACATGTCTTTAAAGTAAATTTTACTTCAGTTTATTTTAACCACTTCCCCATCCGGCCCATGTACATAAACTGCCAGACGGGAGCAGTGCAGGAGCAGGTTGCCGTTTATAAACTGAGCCCGCATTCACAGCCTGTGCGCACTCCCTGGGAGTGCGCAGCACCACGATCTGGTGCCTGCTGTGTTTGGAGGACACAGCGGAACACCAATCGCTGTACGGGACCTCTGTGTGAGGTCCCGGTCATGTGATCACTGATTGGCCAATCAGTGATAACATGAATAGTAGTAAGCAAGATGTCACTTCTGTCATCATTGCTTACTACTAGTGAAATCTGTAAATGATCACAGAGATTACATGGTACAAGACTATTCACAACAGCCTTGTACCATGTGACAAACTGACCAATCACAGCTCGCACAGTATTTCTCAATGTCTGCAAGAATGCAGCAAGAGAGAAAGAGAAATGATTGCGTTTACAGCCTTTATGGGTGTAAAAGCAATCAGTGTTAAAAAAACAAAAAAAACAAACTTCATCACCCTCCACAAGTAGTAGAGTGTCACTATGGTGACACTGTACTGCTAGGGTGACAGTATGTTAAAAAAAATAAATTAATAATATAAAAAAATTAACTAAAAATGTAAAGTTTTTTGAAAAATTATAATTTTTGGTTATAAACTAATTTGGGTTATATTTTTTTTGTTTACTAAAAAGATAACTGAATAAATTTTGGCCAAGATTTATGAAGAAATTATTTATTAGCAAAATTATATAAGAAAAACATGTTTTTTTAAAAAAAAATTTTTGGCCTTTTTCATTTTTATAGCAAAAAAAATAAAAAACCCAGTGGTGAATGAAGTTTTATCTGTCTCAAAAAAAACTTCATACGGGTACAGTGTTTCATGACTGCGCAATTGTCATTCAAAGTGTGATAGCACTGAAAGCTGAAAATTGGCCTGGACAGGAAGGGGGTGAAAGTGTCCGGACTTGAAGTGGTAAAATCAATCCTGCCATAAACTTAATTAGCATTTTTTAAATGCATTTTATGCATAAACAATTGAAGCAACTACCGTTTATGATCTGTAATCCCCATTTACAGTAGAACATTAATGTGTTTGTTTTTTGTTCCAGGTAAATGGTACAAACATCAGCTGACCTATCAGATTGTGAACTGGCCATGGTACCTGTCTCAGCATCAGGTGAGGCAGGCAGTTAAAGCAGCGTTTGAATTGTGGAGTAATGTTTCCTCGCTGACCTTCTCAGAGGTTACAACGGGCCCAGCAAACATTCGTCTGGCTTTCTTCGATGGAGAACATAATGATGGAGCTAGGCATGCATTTGATGGACCAGGTGCTAAACCATTCACTCTTGTAAGCTCTGTTATTGAAACAGTGATGTATGTATTAATCTAGAAACTAGTTTAGAATACAGAGAACCCAGATTCCCTACTACACAGAGGATTTCAGCACAGATTCATCCTGTCGTTAATGGTATACAACCATACAGGCTTTGATAAATTATAGATTTCTTTTCTGATCAATCTCTCCCAATAGGAACATTCCATCTATAGTGTACCACCCATTCAGCTGATATGCCACACGCAGGTAAACATATTTCAATCGATATTTGGCAGATATAATCCTAAATTATTGAACGCATATCTGTTTCCACCATGCAATCTCAAAATTTGATCGTTCAAAATATGTTCATATTCATCTCCGTGCCAATGATCGATGCCAGGGGCGGACTGACCATCTGGAAACTCGGGCACTGCCCAAGGGCCCAAGGTCAGTAGGGGGCCCCATGAGATGCCCTTGGTACCTATTTCTTAGGCTTTTTTAAGTTTGGGCAAGGACACAGGGGCCCCATGATCCTCTATTGCCCGGGGGGCCCCTTGAGTTGTCAGTCCGCCCTTGATTGATGCAAATTGATCAGTAATTTTCTGCCCTTGCCATTCAACTCAAACCTATTCTAAATTGATCAGAAGGGAAGTTATGACTATTTGATTATTTGCAGATTAAATCATCTTGATTGAATTGCACATCGATCAGATAATAAAAACAAAGCAAATATGGCCACTCTTAGACCCAGGAGGACCCTACATTCACAGTTCTTCTACAACCCCAGACAAAAAGTATGGAATCCCTACTCTTGGAAATTGTTAATTCAATTGTTTGTGTACAAAAAAAAAAATTAATCAGACATGCCTCAAAACTATTTTCCTTTAACATTCCAACCTTCTGGCTTTAAGAAACACTTAAAAAAAATAAAAAATAAAAACTGTAGTCAATTGCAACTGTTTTTGCAGATCAAGCAGAGGAAAGCATATGGAATCACCCAGTACAAATCAAATGGGAAGGTTGTAAAAGGGAAGTGTACTGGTAGACCAAGGAAGACATCAAAGCGTCAAGATAGAAATTTTAAAGTGATATGCCTTGAAAACAGAAAATGCACAACAAAACAAATGAGGAACAAATGGACAGAAGCTGGAGACCATGTCTGTGACTGAACTGTAAGATATTGCCTAAAGGAAATGAGATTTACATACAGAAAAGCCAAACGAAAACCATCATTAACACCTAAACAAAAAAATATAAGGTTACAGTGGACTAAAGAAAATCAATCATGGACTGTGGATGACTGGATGAAAGTGATATGCAGTGGTGATCAATCACGAATCTGCATTGGGCAGGGTGATGATGCTGGAACTTTTGTTTGGTGCCGTTCCAATGAAATGTATAAAAATGGCTGCCTGATGAAAACATGCAAATTTCCATGATCATTGATGATATTGGGTTGCATGTCAGGTAAAGGTATGAGGGAGATAACAGTGGTAAGTCTTCAATAAATACACAAGTTTATATTGAGATTTTGGACACTTTTCTTTTTCCATCGATTGAAAGGATGTTTGATGATGACATAATTTTTCAGGATAATGCATCTAGCCATAGGGCTAAAGCCGCGAAAACTTTCCTTCAAGAAAGACCTATAACATCAATGGTATGGCCTGCAAATAGTCTGGACCTCAATCCAATTGAAAATCTATGGTGGAAATAAAGAAAATTGGTCCTACAAGACTCCAACCTGCAAAGCTGATCTGGCAACTGTAATAAGATAAAGTTGGAGCCGATTGATGAAGAATACGGTTTGTCGATAGTTAAATCCATGCCTCAGAGAATTCAAGCTGTTATAAAAGCCAGAGGTGATGCAACAAAGTCTACTAATGGTGTACTGTAGTGTTTTTTTTTGTTTTGGTTTTTTCATGGTTCCATAATATTTTCCTCAGAGTTGAGTGATTCCATATTTTTGTCCTCTGCTTCATCTGCAAAAACAGTTGCAACTGACTACAGTTTTCTTTCTTTTTATTTAAGTGTTTCTTAAAGCCAGAAAGTTGGAATGTTAAATGAAAATAGTTTTGAGGCATGTCGATGATTAATTTTTTTTCTATGTACTATTGATGGAAGATAAGGCATGAATTGGTTAATCCCTACCTTCTGATTGCAGCATGCCTGGTAGTATACTTTCCTTCCTTCCTACCTGTTTTGAGTTCTTTACTCTTTGGCCTCCAACAGTCCAGCACAGGACAGCTCATCTATAGCAGAAAATATGAGGCTATGGTGCGCAGACACCATAAGAAGAGGACTGGTTCTCGTTGGAAAGGCTTTGCAGCATTCAGCAACACTGCACATTGAAGATTGCTGAAATGTATTTTAAGAGGCACTGCACTTGGGGAGTGGGGGATTCCTAACCATAAATTCTATATATGAAATGTCTGTTAGGTGATCTAGCATTTCTTATTGGAATGATGCATTCTTTGCACTAACTGACTTGTGTCTTCTGGCAGGTGGTGCTTTGGCTCATGCCTTTTTTCCAAGAAGAGGAGAAGCCCACTTTGACAATGCTGAACACTGGTCATTGAATGGGAAGGGCAGAAATCTGTTTGTTGTCTTGGCACATGAAATTGGGCACAGCTTGGGCTTCAGCATTCACCCATCAACAACGCCCTCATGTCTCCATACTACAAAAAATTAGGCAGAGAATATGTGCTGAATTTTGATGATATCTTTGCCATCCAAAATCTCTATGGTAATTTTTTCTTTGTGATGAGTACGTGTGGTATGGATCTTTCTGCTCATAAACAACTTGATTGGAGGTTGTGAGTAGCTTCTGTTTTTGCTGCCAGTACAACAAAAAGAAAATACAGCTGGTGGCTTGTGAGATATATAATAACATTTTCAAACTCCAAAAAAGTTACACCAAACTATTTTAAAATGTAACATTCAGGGCTCGTTCACACCACGGTGCAGAAATGTCAGTTTTTCTGCATGCGTTCTGCAAGGGCACAACAAAATCAATTGTTCTCTATGTGCTCTGTTCACACCACAACACTAGTATCTTGTGCAGATTTTTTTCTGCGCTGGAATCTGCAACGTGTTTAAAGCTCATTGAAGCGCGCATGAAAACTGGTGTAAACTGATGTCTCTGCAAGTGAAATCTGTGCATCAGTTTTTCTGCACGTATTGCATGAACAAGGCCTAAGTCTGGGAGCATCTGTATATCTACTGTTTTTCAACTAAATGCATATTCACAAAAATGTGGGTCCTGCACCATACCTGTGGGATCCCCCTTGGAAGCTGGAAATCGCTGTAGTAGGCACCACTACTGTCATTAACACTAACTTCAAGGTCCTGTCTCGAGCAGCTGCCTTGATGCTTGGTGAACATAGATGGAAGTGTTCTCTGAATATGGCAGCTATCGAGCAGGCAACCTCCTGTGTTCTGTAAGCTGAAGTGCAGCCACTTAGCAAAGGAAACTCTAGCTGTGGTAGCGGCGACTGCTAGAGGCATTTTCAGGTTCCATGATGATCGGCCAGGTATGGAACATACATACTTATATTGGTTCAACCTGGACCAATGTAACTATGCAAAAACATACATACCCAAACTCCAGCTTTAAATTCAAAAACGTTATATATTAAATCTTACCTTAAGGGCTTGTTCACACCATGGTGCAGAGATGTCCGTTTTTCTACATGCATGCTACAAGTGTCCTGTTCACACCACAAGACTAGTATCATGTGCAGATTTTTTTCTGCGCAGAAATCTGCAACGTGTATAAAACTCATTGAAGTGCGCATGAAAACAGATGTAAACAGATGTCTCAGCAAGTGAAACCTGCGCGTCAATTTCCATCAGTTTTTCTGCACCTATGGTGTGAATGAGACCTAAATTTGGTGGCTGCGTTTGCTCATTTTGATAGGCTTTTCCTTTTTCACCTGGTGATCTGGCCAGTAACACACTTTCTGTCTTAGGATGTCTCCACTCCACTGGATGAGCAACAGAGACCTCTTTGGACAGCAGCATTGGCAGACAGGGGAGAAAGTAGTGCTACGTGCACTAGCAAATTTAGATGGACTTGACTAACAAATTAAAGCCAAACGGACAACACTTTTTAAGCAGTTATAGTGATATTTTTTTCATTTTTTTGTGATAAAGGTTTTACATAAATGAATATAAGCTGACCATTCCAAGCATCTTTGACAGTGTTAAATGGCTTATCTCAACCCTCTAACTGACACTTTTGCTGGACAGGGACCATACCACATGTGAACTACAACTTAAACAGCACAAATACCACAAGTATCCTAACATACGTGAACATGCCACGAATAAAACAAGTCCTCGACTGGAGACGTGTGCCATAATACTAAAGTGAATAGTATATTTATTTATTTCAGGTACTTATATAGCGCCGTCAATTTACACAGCACTTTACATATATATTGTACATTCACATCAGTCCCTAACCCTCAAGGGGTGTACAATCTAAGGTCCCTAACTTACATTCATACATACACATACTAGGGACAATTTAGACAGGATCCAATTAACCTACCAGCATGTCTTTGGAGTGTGGGAGGAAACCCACACAAGCACAGGGAGAACATGCAAATTCCATACAGGAGGTGCCATGGTTGGGAATCAAACCCATGACCCATTTACTGCAAGGCAGACGTGCTAACCACTAAGACACTGTGCCGCCCATATATAATAAAGTGTATATATAATAGAGTGGTAGAAATAATATATAAATAAAACTATACTGGTATACCAAATACAAAAAGAGCCCAAAGTGATATATCCCAATGTCAATATAAACGTGGATGACATAAAGGTCAGGGAAGAATATAAATGGATGATGAGTGAAACATAAACAGAAAAATATAAATGGCATAAAAAATGCCTAAAATGATGCCACAAAAGTGAAAATGAGCACAAATATCACAAATGCACTACCATATGTGAAACAACACAAATTGACACGTACAAAACTAAAGACACGTACAGGGGCGGACTGACAACTCATGGGGCCCCCGGGCAATAGGGGATCATGGGGCCCCTGTGTCCTTGCCCAAACTCAAAAAAGCCTATGAAAAAGGTACCAGGGGCATCTCATGGGGCCCCCTACTGACCCCGGGCCCTTGGGCAGTGCCTGAGTTTCCAAATGGTCAGTCCGCCCCTGGATACGTACCGTAGTGATAAAAGTGCACTGTTCATGAAACATGAAAATGATGTTTCACATATGGTAGAGCACTTGCGATATATGTGCTCATTTTCACTTTTGTGGCATAATTTTAGCCATTTTGTATGCCATTTATATTTTCTGTTTATGTTTCACTCATGTCCCATAGGAAACCATGTTAAATGTACTGTAGTGCTTTTAAGCAAAAAGCAATAAAAAAACACATGGGTGCAAACCAGGCCTCAAACTGAAGAGTGCAAAGTCTGGTGCAGGTCTGCATACAAATCAGCTTTCAGGTTTTATTGTCAAGAAGTCAGAAGCTGATTGGCCACCATGCACAGCTAAACCCGATTTTGCCAGTTTTAGTAAAACAACCTCACTGTGTAATATTGTAACCTACGTACAACAGTGTAACAAAGAAGTCTAATTTGGCCAAATCTGAAATATCATTTAGGAGTAGATGCTACAGAGCAGAATTGCCTGTTGACTTTGTTGGTTTGGCCTTGAGGACTCGGTGGGGTAGATTTACTAAAACTGAACTCAGAATCTGGTGCAGCTGTGCATGATAGCTAATCAGCTTTTAACTTCAACTTTTTCTATTAAGCTTTGACAATAAAACCTGGAAGCTGATTGGTTTCTGTGAAGAGCTGCACCAGATTTTGCACTCTCCAGTTTTAGTAAATCAACCCCAGTATGTGATGTCTTCCCACCACAGTTCCCTGCCTACTGTAGAGTAGTCTTGCCTTACAATAGGTAGCCATTGTAAACTCCTCTGTCAGTGTTAAATGGTTTTTCCCAATCCTCTAACTGACACTTTTGCTGGACATAATTCTTCCCACATTATTCTCCATGAAATTGGAACAAATGCAGAAAGGAGAGTGAGACTGCCCCCCTTGTACTGGCCTTAGGAAATGCACAGATCTGCCAGTCCCCAATAAATAAGACACTACTGTGTAATACAACACAACAGCTTCTACTAACACATGAAATTATTCTTGATGGGTGGGATAAACTTTTTAATCTACTCACCACTGTTGTTTTAGGGCGAAACCTACTCAAGCTTGACATGTGTAAGAGCCCACTCTACACCCTAAATAATAATAGTTTGTTTGCCTATTTATTTAAAGTATTTTATATAGTGCCCTTGTTCATGCACCTTTAGAAAATATATATTCACCTCAGTCCATGTCCCTTAACCACTTCAAGTCCGAACACTTCTACCCCCTTCCTGTCCAGGCCAATTTTCAGCTTTCAGTGCTATCACACTTTGAATGACAGTTACGCGGTCATGCAACACTGTACCCATATGAATTTTTTAGCTTCTTTGTTTGAGACAGATAAAGCTTTATTTTGGTGGTATTTATTAACCACTGCAATTTTTTTTTTTTTTGCTATATAAATGAAAAAGTCCCAAATTTTTGAAAAAAGTGTTTTTTCTTATAAAATTTTGCAAATAAATAATCTTTCTTCATAAATCTTGGCCAAAATGTATTCAGTTATCTTTGGCCAAGATTTATGAAGAATAACCCAAAATTAGTTTATAACCAAAAATTATAATTTTCCAAATTTTATTTTACATTTTTTTTTTTATACTATTTGTTTTTTTTTTTTTTTTTAACATACGGTCACCCTAGCAGTACTACTTGGGGGGGGGGGGGGGGGGGGGCGCGATGAAGATTTTTTTTTTTTTTTTTTTACACTGATTGCTTTTACCCCCATAAAGGCTGTAAAAGCAATCATTTCTCTTTCTCTGACTGCATTCTTGCAGCCATTGAGAAATACTGTGAGACTTGTGATTGGTCACAGCTTGTGACATGGTACAAGGCTGTTGTGAATAGCTTTGTACCATGTGACCTCTGTGATCATTCACAGATTTCAATTGTAGTAATGATGTCAGAAGTGACATCTTGCTTACTACTATTCATGTGATGAGATGTGATGATCGGGACTTCACACAGAGGTCACGAGCGTGCGCAGGCATAAATGTGGGCACTGTTTATGAATGGCAACCCGCTCCTGCACTGCTTCCGTCTGGCCCATGTACATAAACGGGTGCAGGAGCGGGTTGCTGTTCAAGTGGTTAAAGAGAAGTAAAAAAAAAACCCAAAACAATCCTACTCACCTAGGTGGATGCAGCATTGATTCGATGCTGAATCTGACCCCCACCAGCTCTGCATTGAAAAGTGAGCTATCAAATGCCACTGATCGCTCAGCTCTCCCCCTCCACTCTAAGCAGAGAGCCAGGACTGTCAGACACCGACTCCCTGCTCTGCCTCTCCAGCGCTCACTGGAGGGGGAGGGAACTGCTGGCTCAGCCTCTCAGCAGTTTGCTGATAGGCTGAGCCAGGTGCAGGTCCAGGCTTCTGAGTGGATCCTGGCTGTAAAGTTGGGATGTTTGCAGAGCCTGGTCCGGCTGATTGCCGTCGGCCAACAGCGGACTTTAGCCCACTGTCAGCTGAAAACGGGTCTTAGGAGCACAGAACTAAGTACACTCCTGTGACCTACAGGAGAATTATAGACAAAACAGCTTTGGCTATACTTGTCCTCTAAGGAGCTCACAATCTAAGGTTTCTAGCTCACATTCATACATACACATACTAGGATCCAATTAACCTACCTGCATGTCTTTGGAGTGTGGGAGGAAACTGGAGTACCTGGAGGAGACCCACACAAACACAGGGAGAACATACAAACTCCAGACAGTGTCCTGGTTGAAACTGAAAAGAATAATATCAATGCTGCATTGCATAAGTGCTAACCACTGAGCATTTGAATTGACCATAGTAAATACATTTAAAAGTATAAAACAAATATTAGAAATATGCAACTAAATGTGAAAACGGGTATAGATGGAAAATGATCTCATGAATTAGAGCAAATTTAATGTTAAGGTTTGTTACTAGGCTTTTTTTTACACTGAAAAATAAATGTGAATAATAAGTGAAATGGCTTTATCATCTTCATTGTGCTTGTGTGACAGGGGCGCCCTCAAGTGGCAGGCTGGTGCAGCTTCCCGGGAAACTGTTCAGTATGTTTGAAGACTGGAGTGAAGAAAAGAAAGGAGTCACAGATGGTGCAGTCAGACCATATTACTGCCAGTCCATGTTTGATGCTGTCACTTGGGGTAAGGATTCCCTAATTATAAGCAGACAGAATTTTCATTCGTTTATAATTAAAGTTTACATAATAGAAGCATGCAACTAAACCACTGTTAAAAGAAAGTACATTGTGCAAAGTATTAGTATGCTGTTGAAGCCAGCTAAAAAGGGAAAAATAGAGCACATATATATAAAGCACTGATTAATATATGTAGCACCTACCCCCTTAGGAGTAGCTGAGTTTTTAGGCCCCCTAAAGCTCTGCACTGCCAGGCAATATGCATTTTCTTCACTTTGCACACTGGAGACAGTAAACAGTCATTGAGCTTGGTTTTGTTTTATTAAAGGGTTAACAAATTGGATGGGGTCTAGGGGTATACAGGATGCCCGCGGAAACTGTAAACATGAGGACAACTTAGAGGAGAGACTATTTTAGCCCACATTTTTGTACATAGTTGCTCTAAGAACATCCAAAGCTCTTTGGTGTACCTCCTCAGATCCCAGATGAACCCTCTTCACCCAGCTGCCTGAGAATGCTTGGGCAAGGGGACCCAAGAGCTGTAGTATTAGAACAGTCCTGGATGAAAACTAGTTGGGTATTGCACCTGACCTCCCTCTCTCCTAATCTGACCCAGGGGGTGTAGGAGTACTCACTCTGTCTTTCCCTGTTTCCTTGGTGGGTTGGTGGCTGCCTTCAGGCCTTATTCTGGGCCCTTCTCTGCTGGCTGTCCTCCCAAGGAGACAATGGGACAGAGAAGATTCTCCTTTGTAGAATCCTGCCTGCAGGTGGACTCCCCTCCCTGGGAACCCCTCCCAGGCTCCTCACTCCAGTCTTCCTCTCAGTCCATCTTCCACCCTACACTGCCATCTTCCACTCGACACTGCCCTAAGGGTTGCCTTGGTCACCATGCCCTGCCATCTGCCAGGGGATTGGCCAAGGTCCCTCAAGCATGCATATCTGAGCCTCCTCCCTTCTTCCATCTCTCCTCCAGAACACTCTCGGCTTTCTGGAGAGGTGGAAGGGCTCCAGAAGCTCTGACCTTCAGAACCTCCCTAGCTTGTCCTGAGGTGAACTCATGACCTTGTTTTTTTTTTTTCTCTCTGTGAATGGAGGAGAGAGATACATTGTATCTCTCTAACTCCTGGCATAGAGGGGAAAACAATGTTTGTTAAAAAATAAATAAATATTAAAAAAAGGAAAAAAAAAAAGAAAAAATACCTAGATCAAGGTTTGATCTAGGTCAGTGCCAGGGTAAGTGTTTGGGACAAGGTCAGAGTAAAAGGTCAGGGTCAAAGGTCAGGATTTTTAATTATTTCTTATTAAATTGGTATGAGTGTCAGTGTGTCAGTGCCAGTGTGTTTTTTACGTAAACAAAAAACAAAATGCACCACTACTGTTTCTGGGCTGTACTACGGGTACAAACAACAAATAACATACACATATATGGTATCACTGTGATTGTCAAGAGCTGGAAAATTTATTTTGGGTTGTTCTTTGTTGGTAGGTTATGGTAGTAATAAGAAACACACAGCTAAATGTAAAAAAAAAAAAATATATATTTTTTTTACTATTTTGGGCTAGTTTTCCTTAATAAAAAAAAAATCAGGAGATATCCATTACCATTTACCACCAAATAAAATCAGGAGATATCCATTACCATTTACCACCAGCCCAATTTGTCCTGAAAAAAAAAACCGTGGTATAATTCACCTGGATGTACAAAGTAGTTGTGATGATACAGTATGTACAGTTTTACTAACACATGTCAAAGTTGCACAATTGTGCTTAGATTTGTTTTACCCTTAAGCGTGAAGGGGTTAATCTTGTGTTTTTCATTACACTAAAGCTTCACTGCCACTAAAATTTATTTCTGCTGGTTACACAGACTTGAAACAAACATTGTACATCTTCAAAGGCCGACACTACTGGATGGTGACGTTGGATGGGAATGTCTCAGGGCCCCTTCTCACACAGCAGAGGTGGAAGAGAATACCAGCTTTTGTAGAAGCTGCAGCAGTGTCAGGATCAGATGGCAAATTTTACTTTTTTAAAGGTGAGAAGTTTGGGATGAAACCTGCAGTTCAGTAGCCGTGGAGCTGGCGACATTTTCATCAATGTTCAGACACACCGCCAGTTACTCACACTATCAGAGGACATTGTCACACAGCAGACCCATCTCAACCTTTGCTAAACTGGATTACAGTATGCTTTTTTTGGATTTAAAAGTAGATGTCAAACTTGAGTTGTTGAAACACACAGGATGTCATTTATTTGTTTAGTATCCAATCTGAGACTTCCAAGTAATGATGCCTAAATTATCTTTTTATACAATATTCTACAGTTATGTGACTATTGCTTCTGGGCCAAGGCTGAGGGTGGGTATTAGCAGCACGTCACTTCCAATGATGATACTGATGAGCCCTGGTCCCTGGCTTCTGGACTTTAGCTGCCAGCAGCCTTTGGGCACTGTCCACTGTAGCAGAAAGTGGCAGATGGTTAAGACCTCTCTGTATTACCTGCAGCAATGGGAAGCAAGCGGTGCTGGAAGTGTGCCTAGAAGTGACTGGCAGAATGACATGCACTGCCAAGGGTAAAATATGGGCATAGTGTACTTTGTCATGGCTGCTTGTTACAGTGAGAGGCCACTGGAAGGATGACAGCACTACTGCTCCATTACAAGGCAGTGGGTGAGCATTGTCACCCTGCAAAAGGAAGCCCCATAATCAGACTATAAATAAGTAGTTGTACAGGCACAGGTGCCAATATGTATTTAAATGTGATATTTAGATTGATGTACAGTTTATATTCTGTGCTCTAAAAAATATTAACCTGAAAACTTTGCAGCTACAGACCGATGTAACAAATTCATATTACAGGAGGCACTGTCAGCATCCTTCTTCCATTCACTCTCTACCACCCTTTCTGGAGAAGGGGATCAAACATTTGCACCACCCTCCTAGTATAGATGCTAGATTAAAGAACAAAACAAAGCGCACTCTCCTCGTGCATTAATTCAATAACCAAAAATGTATTAAAAAGATGTAAAAATATACTCACAAGCCATAAAAAGTCATAAAAACAGAGACAAGAAGTCAAAGGTGCCAGTCGTGGACAGCATGTATCCTCAGGTGACGTGCTAACACGTTTCGGGAGTTGAACTCCCTTCCTCAGAGCAATAGATGAGGAAGGGAGTTCGACTCCCGAAAACAGTTAGCACTTCAGGAGGACGCATGCTGTCCACGACTGGCACCTTTGACTTCTTGTCTCGGTTTTTATGACCTTTTTATGGCTTGTGAGTATGTTTTTACATCTTTTTAATACATTGTTGGTTATTGCATTAATGCACGAGGAGAGTGCGCCTGTTTTGTTCTTTTCTGCTAGTATCAAGATTCCCCGATCTATCAAGGGCAGCACCTCAGCAAGTGTAAAATTCCATTTTTAGTGCAGCAAGAGAGATTTGAGCGCCGGTTTCTGGTTACTGTTTTACAGGTGCTAGATTAGTGTAGTTTGCTCTTCTGCCTGACAGGGAAGCTATTGGGTACATTTAATCCTACTATTAGTTAGGATTGCACATGATGCTCTGGTGCTGTTTAAGTTTGCCTAGAACTCCTCCTGCCTTTCAAAACCACTAGAGCTTTCCAGAACACAGGAGGGAGTTAGGCAAATAAACAGCATGTATATGAATATAGCTCTGGGCCGTTACAGGGGCAGATGGTACCATTGCATGTGTGGAGCTGGTATTTATATTCTGAGAGCACATGGGTCAGTGTCCTTCCCAGAGTGGATTGCACCAAGCCAGGGTCGAGGCAGGCTTGCCTCCCCTGGTACCTGCTGCCAAGAGGCCTCAGATGGGTGACCTGAGGGCCTGAAACTGGACCTCATGAGTGGCCCAAATTCTCCTAAAAGATGAATAGAGGGGCATCTGGTATCACTGAGAGAGGCTGACAGTTGCTCTACAAAAGCCTCTGAGTACAGACATTATAGGATCTCAGGACCAGGTGCTGTTAACCCCCCTCTGCTGTCCTCTAGTCAGCTAAAGGGATTCTTTACTACTACACTGCCATTATGGGAATCCATGGATCCCAAGTGCTCTCAAATTTAGAAGCATTGTTAAGTATACTAGTAAGTTTATCATTAATCATAATCCAATTAAGTTTCTGCTTGACTAATTCCAGTGAAATCGTTGACTGTTTCCAATGTCTGGCTATCGTAATTCTCACAGCCAACAGGATATAAAGAATCAATTTAACCGATTTCTTAGGAATATCAGTGGGCAATAAATGAAATAGAGCTATTTCAGGGGATTGACAAATATTACCCCCGTTACAGAATAAAGGAAATTAAATAAACTGATCCAAAACCTAGTCACCACAGGGCATTTCCACCATATGTGGAGCATAGTACCCTCTTGTCCACAATGTCGAAAACAGCTGGGTGACACAGAAGGGTATATTTTAGTAAGATGTGTAGGAACCAGATACCACCGAAGAAGTGTTTTGTGGTTAGATTCTGGTGCCGGTTTTTAAATGTAATTAAATACCACTTTTTTTTTTTCTTCACTATAGCTCAGAAATTCAGCTGTCACTTTCTCCCCAGCTAAAAGAAAGAAAGTTTTCTTTTAGTTTATTTCCCAGAGTTAAGAGAAACAATGTTTCCTTTTAGTTTCTTAAAAGAAACAAAGTTTTCGTTAACTCCAGGGAAAATAACAGCTAATTCTGTGAGCTATAGTGAAGAAAAAAAAAAGCTGGCAATTGCTTTTAAAAATCAGCACTGACATACACTTTGTATTGTGAAAAAAATTTGTAAACTGAGGCATTATTTTCACTGGATTTTCATTCGTAAACCGAAAATTACATTAACAAAGGCATTTGTAAACCGAGTATATTACTGTATTGTCACAGGTTTCAGTAAATAGCAGTATGCACATAAATGTGTAAGTAAAGGATTAGATCAATCACTGTTCACTAGGCAATATATTCATAAGACTGTAACAGCATAGAATGAAGTTATATTCAGCTAAATTCGAGTAAAGCTGGTAATCTACAAAATCAGCAATAATCAGTGGCATTTCTAAACGTCACCCACATTCACATTCACTGCCTGTGCGTGCTCCCTGTGAGCGCGCAGCACCGTGATCTAGTGCTGCTGTGTCTGGAGGACATAGCAGAACACCGATCGGTGTACGGGACCTCTGTGTGAAGTTCCGATTCATGTGATCACTGATTGGCCAATCAGTGATTACATGAACAGTAGTAAACAAGATGTCACTTTCTGACATCATTGCTTACTACTTGTGAAATCTTTGAATGATCACAGAGGTCACATGGTACAAGGCTATTCACAACAGCCTTGTACCATATGACAAGCTGTGACCAATCACAGCTCTCACAGTATTTCTCAATGGCTGCAAGAATGCAGCCAGAGAGATGGAGAAATGATTGCTTTTACAGCCTTTATAAGTGTAAAAGCAATCAGTGTAAAAAAAAAACAAAACAATCTTCATCACCCCCCCACAAGTAGTACAGTGTCACTATGGTGACACTGTACTGCTAGGGTGATGGAATGTTACAAAAACATTAATAATATAAAAAATAAAATATAAATGTTAAAAAAATGTAGAAAAATTATAATTTTTGGTTTATAAACTAATTTTGGGTTTTTTCTTTTTACTAAAAAGATAGCTGAATACATTTTAGCCAAGATTTCTGAAGAAAGATTATTTATTTGCAAAATTTTATAAGAAAAACACTTTTTTTTTTTTCCAAAATGTTTGGACTTTTTCATTTATATAGCAAAAAATAAAAATCCCAGTGGTGAATAAATACCACCAAAATAAAGTTTTATCTGTCTCAAAAAATGCTAAAAAATTCATATGGGTACAGTGTTGCATGACCGCCCAATTGTCATTCAAAGTGTGATAGCACTGAAAGCTTAAAATTAGCCTGGACAGGAAGGGGGTGAAAGTGTTGGGACTTGAAGTGTTTAACTTATGTGAAAATGGAGGAATAAAGGGTGAGTTGGACTGTGGTTCCTCATGTGTTTGTGTGTTTAACATTTGTTGCTCATTTTGTGTGTTTTACTTGTGTTGCCTTAAAATAGGGTGCCAGCTTGTAAGCTTTAATCAGGATTCAAAAGCAGGGCCATTTCCAGGAGCAGATCTCAGCATCTGTGGTAGGCAGTGTAGATATGGACTCTGTGTTCCTATTCCCACTCTTTTCCCTGAACGAACACAAGTATTTCTAGATGGCATTTTTACCATACCTTAAAGACTTTGGCCACTCACAGTGCAAGGAGTGCTGTCACACAGTGAGCAAAACATTCAAACGTCAAGGAAACCAGAGCTAATTAGCAACACTACTTGCCCTGAGAAAATGATGCCATTGTTGCAGTCACCAGGAACTAATAACCAGGCTGTTTTGCCTCTAGCACAAAATTAGCACAGCTGTTGAATTCTTGAACCTGAGCTACTTACTGCCTGCTGTCTGAGCTGCCAAATAGGTAGATTTCTTCCAGTTCCGTTACTTATGTCAAGATGACGTCAGTGGTAGGGGGGAAAAAAACAAGACATGCCTTTATTGTAAAAGCTACAATTGTTCAGTGAGACTGATTTTTTTTTCACTCCTACATGAAAGTAGGTTTATTTTAAGGTAAGCTATAAAAACGAACACAATGCATGTAATCCCGCCAAGGCAGATCAATCATGAGAGTACTATCTGGAATTGGAAGGGACAACTTACTTTAACTGACCCGAGGATTTGTTTGAATATCCCCGTAATTCCCCTTTTCTTTAGCTCTTTTATATCTGTTGATAATTTTTTGTTATCCATGTATTTTTTAACTTACTGTTTGTTTCCCCTGTGTGACATATTTCTGGTTTGGTTGTAGTTCAGTCTTTTTCTATAATAAAAAATGATTACATGGACAGCTCAGTGGCTAAGTGGTTAGCACTTCTGCCTAGTAGCACTAGGGTCATTGGTTTGAATCCCAACCATGGCACTACCTGCTTGGAGTTTGCATGTTCTTCCTGTGTCTGTGTGGGTTTCCTCCCACAATTAAAAGACAAGCTGGTCTGTTGTCTGTCTAAACTGGCCCTAGTATGTGTATGAATGTGAGTAAGGGACCTTAGATTGTAAGCTCCTTGACAGCAGGGACTGATGTGAATGTACAATATACAGAGGTTAGACAAAGAAAATGGAAACACTATATTATTTACCTTAGATTGTACGCCCCTTGAGGGTTAGGGACTGATGTGAATGTACAATAAATGTGTAAAGTGCTGCGTAAATTGATGGCGATATATAAGTACCTGAAATAAATAAATAAATGATTTGCAGGTGCGAAAGTGACATGTTTTGCGCTGAAAGTGAAAGCAATGTGGCTTTCTTTTGCTTGCGCTGTGTGATGAGACACCTAGCTAGCAGGTGGGAAGCCTCACTTTCGTCATTAACTGTTTGCGCTGCTAGTAATATGGTGTTGTATCAGAGCTTACTGAGCTTCAAAGAGGGCAAATTGTTGGTGCCCGCTTAGTTTGTGCCTCTGTGACTGAAGTTGCCAATTTATTTGCCATGTTGCGAGGTTCAGTATCAAAGGTTATGATGGCATATACAGTTTCTGGGAAAACACCATCTGATAAGCATGCTCAACTGACCAAAAGAGACAAAAGGACATTGCGCAAGACTGTGACCAGGAATAAGAACACAATTGCTGCAAACGTGACTGCAAAGCTCAATCTCAGTCCCATGAAGACTCAGTTCCATGAAAACTGAGATTGACCTCTGCAGTCACTTTTGCAACAGTTGTTTTCCTATTCCAGGTCAAAATACTGCACAATGTCCTTTTCTCTTTCGATCAGTCGAGCACGCTTATGCTTATCAGATTACATTTTCCCAGAAACTGTAAATGCAATCATAACCTTTGATACTCACTACATGGCAAATAAATTGGCAACTTCAGTCACGGAGGCACCAACTAAGTGACACCAACAATTTTCCCTCTTTGAAGCTCAGTAAGCTCTGCCATGACTCTGTATTACTAGCAGAGCATTCAGTGAATGAGGAAAGTGAGGCGAACAGGTGGGAAGCCTCACTTTTGTCATTCACTGTGTGCGCTGCCAGTAATACAGAGACATGTCAGATTGTTGGTGCCCACTTAGCTGGTGCCTCTGTGACTGAAGTTGCCAAATTTTTGCCGTGTTGCGAGGTTCACTATCAAAGGTTATGACTGCAAATACAATTTCCAGGAAAACTGTAGTCAGATAAGCATAAGTGCGGTCAACATGGTCAACTGACCAAAAGAGACAAAAAGGACTGGGACCTGGAATAAAAAAACTTCTGCAACAGTGAATGCAGAGCTCAATCTCAGGCTTCACGTGACTGAGATTGAGCTCTGTGGTTAATTTTGCAGCAGTGACTGGGGTGACAGTTGAGAAATATGTATACTTGGTATTTCATTTCCAGATTTTGAGATGCCATACCAGCACCAAAAGCTACAAATTGTTTCCTGCTAAGGGCTGATTTTCGACTAATCCATTTTGTCAGGTATGTGGCCATAGCATGCAGAAAAAGGACCATGTAAGTGCTGTACTGCATGGGTAATTTAAAGTAGAACTATGGCTAGACTATGAACATTCAAATATTTACATATAATTAATGGGCATAGTTAATCAACTTTACAGCAAATGCTTGCTAACATCTGTAGCTGCAGGCACTGTGGAGTAATTCAAAGTTTGCAGTAGAAGCACTTTCACTTTTAGAAGCTCAACTTCCCCTAACCCTCCCTTACTTATAAAAAAAAAATGCCTTTAGTTTTTTCTCTAATACAGAGCAGGTTCACAGAAACGGAAGCAGTGTGGAAAAAAAGAGACTTAAAGGACTTCACAGCTTCTCTTGTGAATTGAACATAAATGTACTCCACAGGACCTGCAGCTATAAAGATCACTGAGGGTTAAATTTAAAGCTAAAGTATTTCTTGTTAAAATGGACCTTCACTCAAAGGTGAAGTCCCATTGGTTTGCAAACTCCTCCCAACCTGTAATCAAGTTTTTTGGGGGAGGGGGAGCGATTTACAGATTTTTATCAGTATTCACTCCCACTTCTGCAATCCTTGCCTAGTCCTGTGTGTTATCCTTTGTTGTCCCGTGCCCCACTCTGGTATTCTGGAAGGTTCTTTTGCAAATACATGCTCTCTGAAAGCTGGTATTTGAATAGGTTTTGGCATGCCACTCAGATCCCCAGGTTTATAACTTTATGAAGTAGTATTCCAAAAAGCATATATTGGGTTATTCACCCAACATATACATTGGGGAATGAACAATTGAAATTTTAGAATATATATTTGCCTTGTGAAGTATATATGGGAAAATGTGCCATAGTATCAGCTGTATGAATAATAATTAAGACAGCACAGTTGCACAGACAGCTAAACCATGTCTAAATTGGCATACAAGTGATTGCTTAACGAAGCACACAACCTTGAGCAGGAAACCCCAATTAGAATACTGGGTCCATTTCTGGAGACTTTATTTACAAAAATATATTGATAAGATAGAACCAAAGTCCAGAGATGGGTAACAAAAATGGTGAAAGGTCATATCAGGAGAGACTTCAGGAACCTCATATGTACAGTCTGGAGGAAAGATGGTAAAGGGGAGCCGTGACTGTAACCTTTAAATACATCAAGGGGGTGCATAAGATTCAGGAGGGCAGGATTTGTAATAGGAAGCCAACATCAGGAACACGGGGACATGACTGCAAACTAGCAGTAGGAAAGTTGAAAACGAATTTTAGAAAGTATTTCTTTTACTGAAAGAGTAGTTTATTGTTGGAATAAACTGCCAGTAGAGGTAGTAAGTCAGTCAACAGTAAGTGGATTCGAACATGCTTGGGGCAAACATAGATCAATACTTAAAGCGGAGTTCCACTCACCTACAAAAACTGTAGCTGCTGACTTTTAAAAAAAAAGAGCCACTTACCTATCCCTCAGTCCCGTGGTGTGTCCCCTGCAGCCTGTTTCAACGGCCGTCCCATAGTCCAGGAGGCCGGCATCTTCTGTGTGGGCACCCGGCTGTGATAGCTTGCGGCTTCACAGCCGGGTACCCACTGCGCATGCGCGAGTAGTGCTGCGATTTCTGAATGGTCCTGTAGTCTTCTGGGATCTGGCATGTGTCCAAAAAGACTACAAGGAGGGAGGACACCTTCCGTTTCTGATCGCCTAGGCGATCGAACCGGAAGTGGGTACCCGTTCCCCCCGCCCTCCAAAGGTGCCAATCCTTAATGGGGAACAGTCCTTAAAGCAGAACTTCCCCCTTTTGGGTGGAGCTCTACTTTAACAACAAAAAAACAAACCAAATCATAACATAGCAAAAACATGTATAAATAGAAAAGTGATAGCAGAAAAAAGTAAATTTCCCCATTTTTTTTATGTTTCTATGTTAAAGTACAGTGTGGTGCGACTTTTAAACATTTTACTTGCTTTATTTTGCGTGGTTCTTGAATAGCACATGTTCCATTACAGTCAATAGCATTGCATTAAAAATGTTCTAAAAATGCAATATGCATTTTAATTGGTGTGCTTTCAATTATATATACTGTATATGATTTCACGTTTTGTAGGGAAGAATTTAAAAAGAATAAAATGCATGTAAAATGCCCTTAAAAAGCATCTCGTGTTGCAATAAATTTTACTGCAGCACATTAAGCAAATGTGTGCTTTCTAATGTGATGGTGTGAACGAAGCCCATATGCATGCATCCCGTGAGGTAGGATATTGTACCTGCTATGTGAGGCTTCTGAGACAGGTACTTTGTTTTTTGTGACTTTATACATAATTACATGATTAATTTAGGTTCATAACTGGAGCAGTATTGTGCAGAGTACAATGAGCAGGGCTCTCTGATTCCTCCTGTATTCAATTGTATTGTAACTGTGCTGTTTGCCCTCATGCTGTAAAGCACTGCGCAAACTGTTACAGCTATATAAATCCTGTATAATAATAATAATAATACCATATTCTTTTTTTGTGACATTTTTGCAGGTGGGAGATGCTGGAGATACAAAGGTTCTAGACTAGAGGCTGGTTTTCCTCATAAGTGTAGTGACCATGGTTTCCCGCGACATCCTGACACAGTCTTATATTTTCCACCACTTGGACATTTGGTCATTTTCAAAAGAGAAAAGTACTACGTGATGAATGAGGAATCTATGATGATGGAGCCCTACTATCCACGCAGCATACAGGACTGGAAAGGTGTTCCTCACAGTGCTAATGCAGCAGTGACTCATCCTAATGGCTCAGTTTATTTTTTCAAAGGTGAAAAATACTGGTTATTTGATCAAGACACGCTGAAAGTTACTGCTTCTGGGAAGTGGGTACAAGACTTATCTTGGCTCAACTGTCAAACGTCTTGACATCTGATTGCAATAAAAGTTCAATATTATCATTGTCATTATTAAATTCACTTTTATAAAAAAAAAAAAAACACTGTTTTTGGAATCAGGTTTTTATAAGCTTTTACTACATCACAATAAGGTGTCACAAAACTTTTTGTCAAAAAATGTATACATGCTGAGAAATTTCTAGCACTATGATCTCTTCTACTATCAATAATGGAAAACTGTAAAAGCTGGATTGGAAAACTATTTGTGATGAAAGCCCATTTTATTTAAGATTTTATTTGGGTACAGTAAGCCCTGATAACTATCACAGAGCAGCAGTCTTTTTCAGCTCTTTGCGTTTTCACAGTTATAATTTATCCCTCACAATTCCCATTTATAGCATGCATATTTAAAAATATGCTTTACATTTCCAATCATACTTTGTGCAGCCCACTTTCTTTAGTCTACAGAAAATTTCCTAACACAAAATGGCCAGTTGGTCGTGTCTGCCCCCAATCCAAGCCCAAATATTCCCATTCTTCCCCAGGGTAGCAAATATCAGGAGGGGCTGGAAAAAGTTGGTGCAATCTGGTCCATCAATAAAGCACTTCATGGTTACTGCCTATGGCACCTATACAACTGTTTTTAGTTGATGCTGTTGGCACACATACTCTCTAGCCTCTTTTTTTTAGGTACACCTGTTCAATAGCTTGGTAATACAAATTGCCAATCAGCCAATCACATAGCAGCAACTCAATGCATTTAGTCATCTAGATGTGGTGAAGATGAAAACTTGCTGAAGTTCAAACGGAGCATCAGAATGGGGAAGAACTTGTGACTTTGAACATGGCATGGTTGTTGGTGTCAGATGGGCTGGTCTAAGTATTTCAAAAACTGCTGATCTACTGGGATTTTCACGCACAACCATCTCTAGGGTATACAGAGAATGGCCTGAAAAAGAGAAAATATCCAGTGAGCTGCAGTTGTGTGGACAAAAATGCCTTGTTGATGGCAGAGGAGAATGGGGAGACTGGTTCAGCTGCGACATTCAGATGGTAGGGTCAGAATTTGGTGTAAACAACATGGAAGCGTGGATCCATCCTACCTTGTATCAATAGTTCAGGCTGGTGGTGGTGTAATGGTGTGGGAGATATTTTCTTGGCACTAGCAAGGTGTACCTAATAAAGTGGCTGATGAGTGTATAAACAAGCATTGTACAAATTTACTTTAAAATTGATGGTGTGATAGGACAATTCAATAATCCTGTCTATATCAATGCGCAGCATTAAAAATTCAGTATCCTAATTCAGTAGTGGCTGCATTTGTATCTTTTGACTAGGGATGGGCTGTATGTTTGAGTTGAACGTCAGTTTGACTCAAACATCGGCCATTCGTGTGTTCGATGTAGAACATCGTGATTGACTAAAGCAGGGGTCTACAAACTTTCTAAACAACGGCCCAGTTTACTGTCCTTCAGACTTTAGGAGGGCTGGACTGTGGCCATTGGGAGCAGAAAAAATCTCAACATCAGATGGAAAAAACGATGTCCCAACATTGGTGTCATTGGGAGAACTTGTGCCCCACCGTTGATGTCATTTGAAGAAACTGTGCTTCATCATTGGCGTCATTGGGAAAAATTGTGCCCCTTCATTTGTGTCAGGGGGGGGGAATTATGCCACTACGTTGGTGTCAGTGGATGAAATAGTGCCCCAAGGGCCGGATGAAAGCAAGGAAAGGGCCACATCTGGCCCCCGGGCCACAGTTTGGAGACCACTGGGCTAAAGAAATCCACTTGACCACAGCGCATCACTGTATTTAAGAACTGTCATTGTGGTGCAGCTGTCAGCCAGCCGGGAGCCAGCGTGAAGAGTGGAGCAGTTTTTTGGGGGTTTTCTGGGTTGGCGGTGGGCATTGTGATTGATGTTGGATCTACTTCAGGGGACATTTTCTTCATTTTTGTTTTTAATAAAGGACTTGTCAAAGACTGTCTCCTTTTACACATTTCTTTTTTTTTTTTGTGAATGGGTAGCAGTACCATGTACCCCATACTCATTCACAAAGGGGGTGCCCACAGACTCCCACAACACCCCCTACCCCAAAGAACCCCCCCATATTGAGGGCATGTTACCTGGTATGGTTCAGGAGGGTCGGGCACTCGCTTGTCCCCCCGATTTCCTGACATGTCGGGCTGCATGCCCAGATAAGGGTCTAATATAGATTTTGGGGGGACCCCCACGCCATTCTAAAAAAAGAATGTTGGCGTGGGGGTTTCCCCCTCAAAATCTATAGCAGACCCAAAGGGCTTGGTATGGTTGGGGGAGGATGGCGTGTTTCCGAAGGGACACACATGGAAATGTTTCTTGTACGATACCAGAATGAATGATTTTTGTTTAATCAGAGTATTCGGTCGAAAAAAAATCAGTAGACCAAGACCACGCATCCTCGGAAACAAAAGAATACATTACATCACTTCCAAGTTGTATTCTGTAGTATGAGAATTTTTATAACTATAGTAACCTCTTCTTTTTTTCAATGTGAGACTAGCATGCAAAAAAAAAAAAGACGGTAATTCGTTGGATATTTTCATTGTGTGCACCAGGCCTAAAGTACTCTGCTGAATCAGGCATTAGTATCATGTTTGTGGCGGCTGAAAGATGTCCATTTATGGAATATGGTACTTTGAAAACCTTCCCAATATCTTAGATATACAAATGCGTGATCTTCTGAGTCAATCATATCTTAGCAGGAGACATGGAAGGAGACAAGGAAGGAGATTTAATACCTGGGTAATTCATCACAGTGCACTATGTGTAAATAATTGTCAGGCAGTGGTCACCCCATACAAATAGTGTCTTAACGTATTGAGTAAAGCTTACCTGTATAGGTCTGAAACTTATAAGAAGCCTATGTCAAGACACATTTCTTAAATAAAAGTTGTTTGTTGACTGCAGCATGGAGATTTACCTGTTCAGTAAAAGGCAAGTATAGGCGCCTCTCCCTTTGAACCATAGAACATCTGAGGACAAAATATTGACATTACCTTTGTAAATGTTTGACTTACAGGTATTATAATCTTTGTGCTTTTGTACTTAGTCCTTCCAGACAGGTTTATATTGAATGCACTGACACCTTATCGATCAGGGTTGCATTGTGTGATTTAGTAGTAATTGGCAACAAGGTAAACTGTAGTGTTCAGATCTGCCTCTAAGAAACTTGAGAAGTCCTGGTGATTTCCTCCCATAAGTGCATGGTTAAGGTACCCATAGGGTGGCCATAAATGGCCAGTCCAACTGTTTGCTGCAAATACCCTATCTCCTTTTGAGAATACACCTAAAAAGTGATAATAGGTTCTTTTCATGTTGTGTTTTTTTTTTTTTTTCCAACAACAGAGATTTAAAATTTGTGCATGACCTGGATGATTTTTTTTCTCTTGCAAGAAAGGTGCTAGTGCTAACTGTCAAACTGTTGAACAGTTTACAATAGTAAGTATATGCTCCCTCCAGCTGTTGCCAAACTACAAGTCCCATGAGTCATTGCAAGATTGACAGTTACAAGTAAGACTCCCAAAGGCAGAGGCATGACGGGACTTGTGGTTTCACAACAGCTGGAGGGCTGCCAGTTTGACACCCCTGTTTTAAAGCATCCTGATAACCCCTAAAGCTCGAAATTAGTGTTCAGGCAATGGTGTCCTGCTCCCATAGTGAGGAGCTTGATCGTATCCTCTCCTGTCTTTTGTGGTTTTCTGGTCATTGGGACTATTATAGGCCAATAGTGAAGGATTGGAACTTTCTGAGAGGTATGTTCTCTGAATCTACATTGAGAAGGCTCCCATCTCTTTCTGACAGAAAATGATTGGAAATACAGCCTCCATAAAAAAAAATAGTTATTATTATTATTATACAGGATTTATATTATTATTATTATACAGGATTTATGGCGCCAACAGTTTGCTCAGCGCTTTACAATATAACGGGAGAGAATACAGCAACAATACAGTTCAATACAAGAGGGTTAGGAGGGCCCTGCTGTATTGGAAGGGTTTTTTTGTTGTCTCTCAGACTTTTTTTTTTTTTTTTACTGACTGCAACACTTTGGGGTACTTTTCCCTCACGTTCTGTCCCAAATATCAGTTCAACCTGTGACAGACAAAATCTTTCCAAAAAGGGCACAGGAAAAATTTAGACACATGTTATTACACTTCCCTACTTTATCCAAAAGTAAAAACTAAAAAGTTTTTGCCTTCATTTCTAATTTACAGGGTGGTTTATAACTCCAACCATGCCATCAGTGTGCCATTAGGGAGATTTCCTATGTTATATGATATCATTAGATCAAACCTAGGCCTTTACACATGTCTTGAACTGAAATGAACTTAGACTGGCTGTCACTTAGTATTTAAAGTGTTACTAAACCTAGGACCCTGCATTAACTATATCTGGTTTCCCACAGTACACAGAACATGGAAGTGTAATTATTTTAGTAAATATAAACTGCTAAATACCTTTTCTCATCAGCAGTTAGAGCAGTCTTGTGACAACTTTTTTCTATCAGTGTCCAGCAGAGCACTGGTTAAAGCTTGTAGGAGGAGTTTTCATTCTCTCCTGCATTGTCCTATGAGGCTGCATGCCCCCTGACCCTTTGTCTGGACTGTGCTGAATGGCCCTGTGCTGATCACATACACTCTCTAAAAAAACTCTCTAGAAAAACACACCAAACTGAGCATGTGCAGCTTGCTCCTAAGGCTCTTTTCTATCAGAAGATGGATTGGAGACAGTAGATGAAGGGGAGGATCAGAGAAGACAGGATCAAACATCCTTATACTCACTGAGGAACCTAAGGGGTTAATCCTCCGCATTGTGTAATAACAAGCATGCTTTACTGCATATACAAACTGCTTTTACTGTTGTGGGTTTTAGTAACACTTTAAGCTAGATTACAGCTTTGGATAGAGTAAAGGAGGTCAGTTTTTTTTTTTTTTTTTTTTTGCTTCTGTCTCCCATTAGGGAGATTTGCCTTTATTTTCTGCCCCATAG